ATTAAAGCGCTTTTAATCTCATAAAAAAATCGGTTTGGGCACCCTGTGCTGTCGTGACGTCATATCGTGACGTCAGGTCGTGGTCGTGGTTTGTTTTGACAAGAAGGAAACCTATAATCGTGTCCTTTTCCCGGGCTTTTTATTTCTTTAATTATGGCTATGCATTTTCAATTCGAGCTCGAATATGACGACAATGAGTTAACAGATCAATAAGACAGCTTTGATCACGAAAAAGAATCGAGTGAAGAATATAATATGGCAGAAAATTCGGAAGAAGTATCGTGGTGAATGCGGGCTGTGTGTTAAGATTGAAACAACTGAAATGTGTGTTTTCTGTATCGATTTCGTATTTAACTGAAGCAAATAAAAAAAGGAATGAGTAAAAGTAAGCTCTATAGAATGTTTTATATTATCAATACCAATCTATTTTCTTTAAATGACTCTTGAGTAACGAAACACGAAAAGCTCGCGCTTGCGAGGCTGTTTGTTTACGCTTTAGTACGGGACGTTCTCTGGACTGCACTTGTGTAAATCTGCCCAAAGTCCCAAAGCAAATAAACTTCCCAAGGAGTGAATAATCACAAAAATATGTATAGATCAAATTAAGTTATTTTGTTTTGGATGTAATTTGTTGTGCTATACGGTTTGGAAGGTTCAAGACCCACGGCTTTACGTGACCAGTAGTACTCCAAAGTCTGTCGTACAAACAGTTTCATAATTTGTCTTTTAGCCTTTAGATCCTTTCGATATGCTGCACTTACAGACAGCTTACATGGTGGAAACATGGGTATTTGGTTTAGGCAGATGTGCACTCTCTATCATGAAGTGACACTGCAGTCCAGAGATAGTCCCGGACAGTCTCGAAGCTTTCGTGGTCCGTTCGTTTGATATGATACAGTGTACACAAGAGTCAATAGAGGAAACGACCGCTAGTTATTAACATTCTATAGAGCTTACTTTTACTCATTCCTTTTTTATTTGCTTCAGTTAAATACGAAATCGATACAGAAAACACACATTTCAGTTGTTTCAATCTTCACACACAGCCCGCATTCACCACGATACTTCTTTCGAATTTTCTTTCCATATTATATTCTTCACTCGATTCTTTTTCGTGATCAAAGCTGTCTTATTGATCTGTTAACTAATTGTCGTCATATTCAAGCTCGAATTAAAAATGCATAGCCATAATTAAAGAAATAAAAAGCCCGGGAAAAGCACACGATCATAGGTTTCCTTCTTGTCAAAACAAACCACGACCACGACCTGACGTCACGATATGACGTCACGACAGAACAGGGTGCCCAAACCGATTTTTTTATGAGATTAAAAGCGCTTTAATTAGCTTACTAATTATTTCTCGAATTTTTTAATACGATTTTCGAAATCAGCGTTAAATTCTACATAATATAAGTTCAACTTGCTGAGAAGTAGAGGGTCCCTTTAAACACCGTAAAAAAGTAGGGGAAGTAACTTACTGAAATTTCGGACGTTTATCCTTAGTCGGAGGAAAAGGATTAACGTCCGAAACGTCAGTAAGTTACTTTTTTACGGTGTTTAATTTATCTTTTTACGCGACTGCTTGTAAACTTGTTCTGGTTCATAAATTTACAAGCGTTTGTATGGAGTCACCCAACCATAAAATCGCTCGTATCTCCGCTATTAATGACACTAGGACTCTCAAATTTAGCAAGAATGTATTGAAAATGATGCACTTTCAGAATATGGAGGCCAAGTTTGAAAAATCAGAAAATTTTGATTTGTGACGTCATCACTTCGGTACTCTATTTCGTTAAAACTAATCACTCAACACCAGGACTCTTACCGATCTGATGTCTGTACTCCTTGTGGTATACAGTAATTTAATTCAACACGTGCAATACCCAGCATTAATACCAAGCCAAATCCACAWGACCATCGTATATTTTGAAAGAGTGGGTAAGCTTGTTGTCGGAAAGGCAACGCTGTTTAGAAAAAAAAAGGAATATAGAATGATGGATACGGACGTACACTGCCTCAACGTCAATCAATGACAACAATATAGAAATGAAAGAAAGTTATTCTTGGTGTGCAAGTTACGTCATCACCGCCATGTTGGATGAAAATCACAAAGCATTCCTTATTAGTTTCTCTTGTTCATTCATCCATCATGGCGGCGATAGCTTTGTTCTTTATTTCTCAGGGGATTCCTTGTCATGTGGTTGCACACCAAGAATAGTGCTTAGAAGGAGGCAATTCCGGGAGATAGACCTGTGGGTTCGAATCCCAGCGAGGGATTAATTTTTCCGAATTTATTCCAGAGGGTCTTTCTCCCGGAATTGCCTCCTTCTAAGCACTATAACTTTCTTTNATATCGTTCTATCATAGTGCCATGCGGTCCTCATATTCGTATCGTTACAATGACAACAATACTCCATTTTCGTATTCAAAGCGAACAACCGCTGCTTTATTTGGCAACAGGTTCTCTTATGCAAAGACCTTACCGTAAACTAAAGAAAGCACGAGAAAATGTCGTTATTACAATAGACTTGAAAATGTGCATTTTCTCCATTTTCTCGTGTTTTCTTTTCTGTTTGGTTTCTCGTGTTTTCTTTACTGTCTTTGGGTAAGAGAACAGCGGTTATTCGCTTTGAATTCGAAAATGGAGTATTTGAGCAGATCARAATGTTTTCGTTGTTGTCTCTTAGTTTTTACTTTGTTTTAATYTTTTGCATAACGACGAATTCCATATAACGATCAAAAAGAGAACGGATTACATCTATATAACTCCGTATTAGGGTGACCACCCACCCTTCTATTCAACTCGTTCACAGGCCCTTACGCTTGCCGTCTGACCGCAAGGGATAAGGCCCTGGGAAAGAGATTACCCTAACGTTGATTACCCTTCTATATAATGACCACTACATAACGTTCCCATCTACATAACGACCACTTTTTTAAAAACGACCACCAGTACATAACAATGACCTTAACAAAATTAAGATATCAAAATATGGACTATATCTACACAATAAAAACCTCTACAAAACGAACACATCAAAATATGGACTATATCTACACGATAAAAACCTCTACAAAACGACCAAGTAAGATTTAATTTAAAACGTACTTGAATCTACAGCAAATAGATTTCCTGCGTTAAAGAAGGTATGTGTTTTTATATGGTCTCCAAAACTCCCTTGTCCTGGTCGGAATGGTAGAGGGGTGTACAAGTGAACACCAGTCGCCCAATAAACCTCACCACCCAGAGAATCGCCTAAGAATAGAAACAAACATTAAATCACATTTCAGATATCCACCATTTTACCTAGAAAAAAAAACATTGCATCGTCGACCAGTAGAAATCTTGAGGTTCGTTGGCAGGATTTACGATATTTCAGAGACTTATTAAAACCGAGAACTTAATATATCAAGTATGACTAAATCTATAACACTTAATATATCAAGTATGACTAAATCTATAACACTTAATATATCAAGTATGACTAAATCTATAACACTTAATATATCAAGTATGACTAAATCTATAACACTTCTGACTTTTTAGATCAGTAGCACGAACAATATCTTTGATAAGGGGATCTTTGCAAAAAAGTCGATTGGAGTTCTTTGATTTTAATATACAAAAAATATTTTAGACATACGGTATCCGGGATGGGGTCATCCGGGGGGTCCACAGGGTGCCCGTGACAACAAACCCCCTACCTTTCAAAGCCAAAAAAGCGCGAAAACCACAAACTGGTATACATGTATCATATTGATGTTATATGAGTCCAAAGTGAAAATTTGGTATGTACGTATTCCCCCATGAAAATCCTGGATACGCCTCTGYACTGTCGCTAACGTCAAGCGCTCATGAAACTTTTGTATAGAGCGGATTTCGTATGAGTGGGGCACCGTTACCGCACGGTTACCGCACAGTTAMCGGACCTGRCCTGCACAATTTTGGTGAACCAATGGGGCACTAGAATTTKGTTAMAGTACGATTACGGTCACCGTACAGTACCGTCCGTTTCCCACTCATACGAAATCCGCTCTATGAAATACAATTATTTGATATAGACCTTTAATATTGTATTATCAGCTAAATTGCTGTAAAGGTTTTTGCTGTGAAGTGTAATGTTTATTTAAAATTACTGAAACCTGCATTATTATTATTATTTTACATACCTTGATCTCTCGGTCCTATTCCTTTTATATGAAAACCTCTGACGGACAGTGGACCTCCAAGAAAAAACCTGWATATACAAGGAAATAGGCATTGGTAATTGTCATTAAGAAACAATGAATGGTGAATAGCGCTATCCATCTGATAAAACCTTATCTATAGCAGATAAAATCCATACAAAATCTAAGGAGTGAATAACTTTATTCGTCCTTCCTACAACCGGTCCAACAGTCGTTTTTCTGTTATTTGCGATTCTGYCGTGTCCTTAATGAGCCATGAACCAGCATTCTACTTAAATTAGATGTATGCATACATTTATGAATGGATGGATAAATGAATGAATTAGAAATGTATAAATAAGAATCGAAAAATAAACAAACTATATACTAATGGATAAGCAGGACTGGAGAATGCAGCATATGTATGAACGAATCATTAGATTTGAACTGATACAGAACAATGAATTCATAAATATATGAATGTAAAATGAACTACTGTCACTATTAAAGACCCACGAGCATCAACGCATCTTCGCGCGATTTTCTCACATACGACAAATCGCCATTTTTTCATTAAGAGCCAATTAAAAAGCAACTTTCAACAAGCGATCTCTTTCAAAGTTTCTGGGATGCAAGCGGGCCTTTAATCGAGTGAATGAAGGAATCGAACGGCAAAGAAAGGAATAAATGAGTTACCGATCGTTTATTCTTGATGGTCTATTAGATAATGTATTCATCAATCCTGCTTGCGCTGACCATGAAAACACCTGAAAAATACCCATCATGCACGGGTGCGTGAGTAAAACACGTCTCCTGGGAATTAAACAGAGACTGAACTTTCTTTGGTATATCAAGCCTGAGAAGTCTATGAGATCCATATAATAACCCCAATGACAAGAATTCCCGCCTATATTTATATTAACYGGTGCGACCAACATTGACCACAACAATCATCCCTGGGTTCCTTGTAAAAACACAACGGAACAATTGACCTATCGCATAATTACGTTACAGCTTAACGCTAAGGATTATGGTCACCAGAGGGGAYCAGAGTGACTGTATATCAAATAAAATGTACATAAGCTATCACTGATAAATGGTGTACATCAAAACTCGAAAAAAAAAACTTTCGGAAAGAATATCAATAGGTCCAAGTTTCGAGTCTTTCTGAGCATCTATCCACAATGTAAACATACTGTGGCGTCATTATGCTATAGGGCAATTCAGGGATGCCAACTCTCCCGGATAATACTAGGCTCAGTCTCCAGCCGTCGGGATTTCGTGCGCCCGCGATACTCTCTCCCCTGACGGCTGGGCGCATGGGGTTCGAAACGTGTCGCGCATGTCCGTGACGTTTTTGTGTAATTAGCATATTATGACGTAACGGAAGTGAATTTTTCAGTGAACGGAAGTGAAATATCTGACAACAGCCGTAAAGGTTTTGCTACAAGGCGGGAAATTATGTGAAATGAAAACTTCGCGAAGTAGCGATATAATGTAATAGTTAGCGCTTTAAAAAAGAGAAAGGAATGGAAATTACCCCAAGTAAAACATGTGCAGGGTTTAATAATCCAAATGGATGTATTATCTGCCAGAAAAACGAGCAAAATACACTAGTGGCGCTGTTTGAAAAATAAGAGATTTGCCCGAGCCAGTATAGGAAGAATAACAAGGACATCTTTTCCAAGAACAATCTCTTTAAGAGCCTTTTGCTGTATTTCTCTAAATTCGTCCAAGCTAAACGACTTCAGAGCCTTCAAACAAGCACTTTCNAGTATTTCCCTACATGTAAAATAGGAAATACAGAATTAGAATTAGAACCTAAAATGGCATTTCACAACAACTCTAGGATGCCTCAGATAAATACACAATGAGAGAGTCTAGCTTGTTAAATAAACAGTACTTTGAAGCACAACTGTTTGTTTAGGTGAAGCAGCAAGAGTAGCCTTCTTCAATCTAAGAACTCGCTACGCCAGAAACCTTAAAAGAAAACGATCTTTCAAGTTAAAAAATACAAGAGACCCTGAAGCCAATCCTGATGAACCAGCTGATGAAGAAGAACTTTATCCTTTCCTATCCTGGCTGGAGACACACATTAAGTCACGTTCATCATATGGTACAAGCAGCCGCACAACCATCAATGTCAATGCTTATGGACACGAAGACTCAGAGGAGGAGGAATCCATTGTAGTCAGTCATGAAGAATCCATGCATACAGATGTGAAAAACTTTACCAGCAATAATTTACGACCAAAGAAAAAAGCAAGGTAAAATAATTCTCTTTATCATCAATAAAATAAGTACCTTGTAATATAAATAGCCAATTTTGGCATTACATGTAACTTTTTTTATTATTATTATTTTATTATTATCATATATTCAATACCGATATATACAGCTGTATTTTGCAATAAGTCTGCCTCCTCCCCGCATGTCCAATTTTCATAAATAATACAGTATGTATATCAAAGTGGCCTTAAAAATTATGTGATACCATCCCTGATAGTTTTCTTAGAAAGTCCTTATTCTGAACAAGTAAAAAATACCAGATAATATCCCATAATTTTGAAGGTCATTTTGATAATTATATACAATGTATCGAAACTAAACACRGCTGTGAGGAGACACAAAATATGGCAGAGGGRGTCAAAATTATTGCAAAATATCTGTATACATGTCAGTAGTACAATATAGTACAATGTGTCAGTTTACTTTTTAATGGTGATCAGCTTCATTTTTACAGCAACTCCCCTAATAATAACCTAAACTTAACTACCATCAATWATTGTTGCCATTATTAATAGCTCTTAATGTACGTCAGGTTACTTAAAGGAAAAGCAAGATTCAACCATGAAATACCATCTGGACCAGCAGAAATGCATAGTGTGCAACCCTTTGGGCCATCAATAGTAAGGAACATGACAAATCCAAATGACATAAGTAGATATGAAGATGAAATCTTCAGTGCTTTCATTGTATCCCAGCTCCGTCATATTCCCCATCACAAGAAACTACTGCTAAAAATGCAGATATCTAACTTAATATATAATGAGATGCTTGCCTCCTTATCGGCATGGGAACATCCATCAACAAATAACATGTTGCCACAACCATCTGTACCACATACTACTGCAGCTACATCAGGGGTGCAAGCACAAGACACTGCAGACTTCCCTAATGAAATACATTCACCACAAGAGACACATTCAGAAGAGCCATTGCAAACAACAGCAGTCATACCAAACAGCACTGAGCTACAACAAGCTACGGTAACTTTACCTAAAACTGCACAACCTCTTCAAGCTGTGACCTTACCTATTTCAGACACTTCAAACTACACGCCACAGCTGTCACAAGTGACTGTAACACTACCTCAAACAGTTCGACCAATACATGCCACTGTTAGTCCTGAACCACCACATAGGATCAGTGTGAATCCAACGTGGAGTAGATTGCAACTACAGCAGCAAAGACAGAGAGAATGTAGTGCAGGAAACCCATAGGCAGAGTATGTTTTTAGACTTCAATACATTTATCTCTACGTTAGACAGAAATCATCAGCATACGATATGCAATCCCCATGTACAATGACAGTGAGGTGGACGCTGTTATAATAGACATGAATCCATAGTAACAAGAAGGCTGTAAAGCAATATGCATGTATCCATGGCAACACTCTAAGTTTGTACGCTTTTCATAAATTATTTATATTGAACAATCGTTGAGTTTCTGTTGATGTGTTCAAAAGAAAGATTGATATGTAGGTCATCTTTTCAAGAGAAGATTTTCTAGTTTCCTTTGCTAMATACTGTAACCTTTCTAATTGTAAAAATAAAATAACATGCAATAAAATGATGTGATTTACTGTGGGGCACTATTACATACATAGGAAAAGCCACAGTAAATTCACTGTAGTGTTAAAATAACACCTGACACAATAACTACTGATTCTCTGTGAACTGATTCTATATAAAATAAACAATGGAATGGTGTAAYATTCCTTCATTTCAGTGTTGCGCCTTTGAATTATGAAGGCTCAATCTTACAATATACTCATGACAATGACGTCAAGGAAGGCTTCCTAAGATATACGAACTTTGAAGTCGCTTAATMATRGCTTCATGACATGAAATTTATCATAGTCAAAGTAGAGAATACCGATATTCCCAGATGGTGTTTATGAAAACACTTATTGAGCCTYGAATGACACRAATTTTGTTTTGAAAATAAAATCAATATGAAGAAAATAATAGTTCTGCAAAGTGCCACTGGATGCAGGCTTCTAATTTCAGAGAAMTTTTATGCYAATTTGATGATGTMAAGTTGTTAGCTCATTGATTATACAAAATTGTCTGATTGTCACCTTATTGTTTTGTAGAAGATATTTGTTATGTATACTAATCAAAAACAATCTTTCACAGTTTGACATGGGTAAACTTAGGAACACTTGTTACAAAACACAGTTGAAATTYTATAGAGCACACAAAATGACGTCATCAAATTAGCATAATGGATTTTTAACTTCAATTTTCTCTGAAATTTGAAGCCCTGCATCAAGTGGTATTAGCCAAGCTGTTACTCTTTTTCTATTGAGACTCTATTTTTCAAATAAAAAAAWTTGTGTCATATGCACTTTAACGGTTTTTTTACATACAGTAACTCAAGATACTTACAACATCATCCAGCACTTTAATATTTTCTTGGAGCTCTACATTGTTCTTAATAAAAGAAACATTACCACCAAGACCAGCAATCTCCTAATAGGATATATAAGCAAACAAAATGCAAGTATAAGTGAAGAAACAAAARGTAAAGTTTGCTCAATTCTTCATTTTCACTGCAGGTCACAGCAGCCATCATGGCTGAACTTCAATTTCTCATTAGTATCTCAGTAGATYATTTTKTTCATTCAACCAACATGGCTGCCTGTCTTTTGTCTTTTGAATCTCCTATTAAAGATGATTGAAAACAAGTAACTAGGAATATGCAACCACTTTGGTGCATCATGGGATTTCTGTGAATAAATTAACCCTATTCAGACTGGGGGGGGCCTTTTGAGCCCCGCTCGTGTAAAAAGCCAATAACCTTCGAACCAAGACATCTAGAGCTCTGAAACTTTCGGACTTTTCCTAAAATTTATCTGGGCAGATTTTGATGTAAATTTTTTGTTGATAACGTCATCCATGTCGCCATGGCAACCAGTTTTTGACACATAGGTTTTCAAAAATGTAAAATA